GCATGAGGCGGCTCAGTGCAGCAGTGGCAGGGGAGGAGTAGCGCGCAACTACAGCGTCGTACAAGGTCTTAGCACTCTTGTACTGACTAAAGTGCGCGCGCTCAGCGGTAGGCAGGTGGCGACGCACAGCAAGACGTGCAGCAGCGTCGCGTGTGGCCCACTGGGAACGAACAGTGGGGTCAGCATCAGTAGCAAGGGCAGGGACGGCGCCAGAGGTGAGGTCAAAGAGAGAAAGACCGTCTGCCCTATCGCACTGTAAGAACAGCTGCAGGTCGTCGACCCAGACCTCAAAGTCAATGGCGCGACCCTCAGCGTCAAAAGCTAGGACACTAGGGGTAGCCATGACAGCAGTCGACGATCTCACCAGACAGGGCGGGTCGGGCAGTTCAGCAGCACAGGAACACGACAACACTGCTGCTCGGCCGGCCCAGCAGCAACAGCAGCTCCGCGGGACCAGCGGCTCGGCTCCTCAGGTGACTCGGGCGGCTCGGGCGGCGCAGGCGGTTCGGGCGGGTCGAGCGGCTCGGGCGGCTCGGGCACTCAGCGGCACAGGCGGCTCGGGCGGCTCGGCTCCTCAGCGGCACAGGCGGCTCGTCTCCTCAGCGGCACACGCGGCTCGGCTCCTCAGCGGCACAGGCGTCCGGGCGGCTCGGGTGGCGCAGGTGGCACGGGCGGCTCGGGCGGCTGGGTGTTACAGCGGCGTACGGGCGGCGTGGGGCCGAGACGGCGGCGTGCGGCCGGGACGGCGGCGTGCGGCCGAGACGACGGCGTGCGGCCGGGACGGCGGCGTGCGGCCGGGACGGCGGCGTGCGGCCGGGACGGCGGCGTGGGGCCAGGACGGCGGCATGCGGCCGGGACGGGTGGCGCACGGGCGGCGTGGGGCCGGGACGGCGGCGCACGGTCGGGACGGGTGGCGCACGGGCGGCGTGGGGCCGGGACGGCGGCGCACGGCTGGGACGGGTGGCGCACGGGCGGCGTGGGGCCGGGACAGCGGCGCGCGGCCGGAACGGGTGGCGCACGGGCGTCGAGGGGCCGGGACGGGCGGCGCACGGGCGTCGACGGGCCGGGGCAGCGGCGCGCGGGCATCTAAGGGCGGCGCGACGGCGGCGTGGGGCCAGGACGGGTGGCGCGCGAGCGTCTAGGGGCCGGGACGGGCGGCGCGCGGGCGTCTAGGGGCCGGGACGGGCGGCGCGCGAGCGTCTAAGCGCGGCGCGCGGGCATCTAGGGGCCGTGACGGGCGGCAAAGGAGGGGCCACTAGGGCAGGTCGCCAAAGCGAGAGAGGGCCCGGAGCGCGACTCACGGCGAGCGCGCTTCGGGCAGGAAAAAAAAAATATCGATGTGGTGGGCCCTAAGCACAGTTCCCACGGGGGAACCTGCTCGATACCATGAGAAGAGTAGAACGAGAATGAATGAACTCTGAATGAAGTGAGTACAAATATGAAACCCTAATTGGGTTGTACCCCCTATGGGATGCCCCACTATAGCCTACACAAAAGCATAAGCTATACATTCTGACAGAGACCTCCTACTCTAGTTACCATGTTAAGAACTAAGGCAAGGATGATGGAATTAGGTGAAGGGGTGGGTACAATACTAGGGTATCGAGAAAGTTTCTTTACCCCTTAGTGCTAACCCCCATGCAGCCTAGATAACCTAAACAAGTATATATAATTTGACAGAGTGGTTATTTTGCTACTACTTTCTGTAGTTTGGCATTTACGTATATTTGGATCGCGCTTGCTTCAACTTCCTGTCAGAATGTTATTATTCTCTAGCCTACAGTGGGGTACTCTATAGCGAGTACAACCCCTTTGGGTTTCCCATATGTATCCTGCTGCTTTCTAGTGAACCCTCTCCTTCTTCATTCTAAACTTCTACCTCTTAATTTTGACATGCTATCAGAGCAGGTCGATCCCCTTGGGTCGATCCTGCGGGTGGGCTCACCACCTCACTGCTTCCGCTGCTACTGCTACTCTGTGTGTCGCACGCCCCGTGGCGTGCGACGGATTTTTCATCCCGCCGCGCGCTCGGAGCGTGCGGCGGTTTTCTGCCCGCCGTGCGCCCCGAGGCGCGCGGCGGTTTTCTGCCCGCCGTGCGCCTCGAGGCGCGCGGCGGCTTTCTGCCCCGTCACTCCGCGCGTCGCCCCCGGGAGGCGCTGCGACGGGCGACGGGGACCCGCGCGTCGCCCCTCGTCGCCCTTTGTGGCCCGCGCGCCCTACGTAGGGCCCGCGCGTAGCCCGTACGGGCTGCGCCAGGCCCGCGCGCGGCCCGTACGGGCTGCGCCAGGCCAGGGCGCGCCTCGGGCCGCCCGCACGCGGTTCGTACGGGCTGCGCCAGGCCCGTGGGTGCCCTGTTTCCTCTTCCCTTGAGGCGCCTGCTGTCCCCCGCACTTCTGACGGCGCCCCACCCCTGCTGCTACCCGTGCTCCTGCATTAGGGTTTGGGGGTGGAGCGTGTGGGGGTATGGGGGTGCAGTTTCTCAGCAGCATCTCCTGCTCCTCCTCCTCCGTCTCCCGCTGCTGCAGCTGCCGCTCAGGGGGGTGGGTGTGTGGGAGCCGAAGGAGTGGTACTAGGGGGTGAAGGGGGAGTGGAGCTAGGGGTGAAGCAGGGGGTGTGTGTCAGGGGGGGTGGGACTGTTTGGGGAGGTTGAACGGAGGTTGCCGTCGTATCGCCAGCAGCACCTGTAGTCCGGGGAGTTGCTCCGGTAGCCCAGTCGCAGCCAGCTGTGCCAGTCGCCCGTGGGTCCGTTGCTCGTCTGCCGCTAGTTTTAGCTGCGGGGCCAGTTACTCCAATGGTCCGGAGCGCTGTTCCGGTAGCCGCTGTGCCAGTGTGACTCCTGTTGCCCGTCTGTCTGCAGCTTCAATCGTCGCCTCCTATCTCCTCTCCTCTCACAGTCTCGCCTCCTCCTCCTCACTTGCCCTCTGCGATAGCCTCTAGCTTTGCTTACATTTGTGAACTTTGAACTGTTGCTTCTTGTACTTGTGCTCAGAATGTGTGGTGACATTGTGATCCACCCTGAGCTTGTTCTGCTTTGCTTGCTCTGCTGATTACACCCCACTTTGGCTATGGGGATGTGTCAGAATGTTATTGTTCTCTAGCCTGCAGTGGGGTACTCTAGAGCGAGTACAACCCCTTAGGGTTTCCCATACGTATCCTGCTGCTTTCTAGTGAACCCTCTCCTTCATTCTAAACTTCTACCTCTTATTTTGACACTTCCAGTCGCACGGTTTTCCACGCCGATCTATGTCGCGTGACTAACGGTCAAAACAAAACAAATTCAACTATGGTTTGGGGTCGAATACTAACCCAGAAACTTCGTTTCTACCCTGTAAGCGAGATAAATGAGATGTCATCGTCGATCGCACTGGAGACAGCGCAATAGGATTAAGAAGTACTCGCGGTCAAGATAAACAATTACTTACAGTTAAAAAAACTAAAATATCGAATCGATGATCCCTTCTTCATCGTTTTTCTTGAATTTTGGGCTGGTTTGATCTGGAGCCTCTGATTGGCTGCGGAGCTGATTAGTGCAATGATTAGGTCAAGCTGCAAAATTTCCCGCCAAAAACGGGACTATAGGGGTCGGGCCAACCCTAGGCGATATCGGAAAATTCTACTCAGGGGGGGAAAGGGACTCTCTCAGCGAGGGCCTCTAACCCGGAACGTCTGTACATTGAATTATCGATTATCGCAGACCAGTCGCGAAATGACAATGTCAGGAACCAAATGACCACTCGGCTAGCACTGCGTTGCGGTGATGTTCCACGTCAAACTGAAAACTGCCCACCGACAAAATGGAAACCAATCATACAACTGTTCCCTATCCGAAATGCCGCGAGCGCGGAAACCGCGTGATAAAAGGTGGATTGGAGCGGGATATAAGCCCCAAAGCCCGTGCCGCGGTAATTCTCTCCGAAAGAGGTTTGTAGAGGCGGGTTCGAGCGATAGTCGCAGGAGGTTGTCACTTTCGCGGGTGTTGCTAGAAGGTCCCACGATCAATGGCGAACAGCACCACGTCCTAAGCACGACTCTGCACTAGGCAGCCTGTAATGCACTTTCGAAGGAGTCTCTCGTAAAAATATTACGACCTGATTCCTGGAATTGTTCCGACACCCATTCACGCACCCAACCGATTCCTCTCTTTTCCTTCACATCTTGGTTGTAGCTGGTTTTAATGGCGGCGGGACCTACAGATTATGTGAAATTCGTGACTGATAATGACCTCAAAGACCTCCTTGACGCCTCTGAGCCGTTGCTAGTCGTGGCTGCGGTGTTTAGTAGTGGGAATGACCGCTACGACGATCGCCAACGACTTCAGTTCACTTTTGGTAAGACTGCTGAAAGCTTCTTAGGAGTCGTCGAATTTGTCATGATTGACGTCGACAAGTATCCCCTCGTCGCCAATATTGGCGACCTGAGGACAACGCCCACTGTGTGGATCTTCAAAGGGGGAGACCTTGTGAAGAGTTTCATGGACAACGTCAGCCAAGATGATCTCTTTAAGAAAATTGAGCGAGCTCCAGTAATCTCTCAAGTCTAGTACAGTTCAGATGCTCATTGATTGTACTTGCAGACCGGAATGCTATACAGAGGATATTGCATGTGGAATTGGTGTGTCATGTGTTCCTGCTACTCAACGGCAGTGATGAATGCATTCGATAAATGCCCATACTGTGGCATCCACGCATGCCCCTTCTAACTCAAAAAGCTGCTGCAAGTTTACCCACCCAATGCCACCCATCCGCTGTAACTGGAGAGATGATGTTGGGCGTGTCATATACACAGTATACGTATGCATATCTAGGCACAAAAAGGGTACCGTATTTCAGCGGGCTTGCTCTTAGCATGAGATGCAAATCATCGCGTTACTGGGTATTGAACAAGTAGCAGAGTTTGAGAAAAGGCAGCTTCTTGACTTTCTGTGTAAGCATTGCCTTTACTGTGTGGGTGCTAGTTATGCAACAATAAAAAAAAAGTCAATAATACAGAAAATGACTGTCTTATTTGGGTCCGACTCTTTCCAGTTTGTCTAGCGACTCAGCTGGTAACCACTCGAAGGTATCAGGGGACATGATTCCCCCAGCACAGAAAAAAGCACACTCTGGCTGCTTCTTCTCCCTGTTAGGGTCGCTGCATGTGACTGATGCTGGATCCTTCTCCACCCCTGTTGCTGCCACGATGCTGAGAGAGGGGATGGGGAAAAGGGAGAGCATTGGAATTAAAGAAGGGTTTGCCTATTCACTCCCGCTGCTTCTCTTCTTCTCCCTGTCAGGGTCGCTGCATGTGACTGATGCTGGATCCTTCTCCACCCCTGTTGCTGCCACGATGCTGAGAGAGGGGATGGGGAAAAGGGAGAGCATTGGAATTAAAGAAGGGTTTGCCTATTCACTCCCGCTGCTTCTCTTCTTCTCCCTGTCAGGGTCGCTGCATGTGACTGATGCTGGATCCTTCGCCACCCCTGTTGCTGCCACAATGCTGCAACTAAAGGAGGAGGAGGGGGGGAAAGGGAAGCGATTCTTAAAAGTGGCAAAGGTTTTGCCTGTTGCTTTCTCTCCTTGCCACGGTCGCTGCATGTCTGATGCTGGGTCATTCTCCACCCCTGTTGCCGTCACGATGCTGCCAATGAAGGGAGGGGGAGGGAAAGAGTTTGCCTGTTCACTACGGCTTCTTCCCTGCTTCTCCCTGCCCGGGTTGCTGCATGTGACTGATGCTGGGTCCTTTTACACCCCTGTTGCTGCCACGATGCTGATGGGAGGGCCGCATGAGATGGGGTGACAAGGGAAGGGGAGGGGCAGGGTGACGGGGAAGGAGAGATGGGAGTGGAAGAGAAAGAAGGGTCTTCGTAGTCACTACGCTTGCTGCTTCTCCCTGCCACCATCGCTGCATGTGACTTGCGCCGGGTCTTGCGCCTTCTCAACCCCTCTTGCTGCCAAGAGGCTGGGTAGACCCACACACCCTTTCAGGCTCAGCCACGAGGAGCAGCAGAGCCTGAATGGGTGTCCCGGCAGTACTGCACCCAGTACAGCATGCGCCCGTGCCACCACTCAACCACACAGACCCTACCACCCTCCCTCGCCTCCCTTCCCCTTGTTTCAAGCATAGCTGAGTGGGCCTGGAAACCCTTTCAGGCTCAGCCACGACGTCTTAATATGCGCCCATGCCACCGCCCCCATACCCCCCCCCACACACACACATTCATAACATACCGACCTTACAACTCTCCCTTTCTCCTTTGATACGCACAGTCTAGAGCATAGCTGGGCTGGCTTTGAGACCCTTTCAGGTTCAGCCATGACGTCTTGGTATTTCACCGAAAGAAGAGCCCAGCACAGCATGCGCCCGTGCCATGTGCATCACACACACGCCCTACTACTCTCCCTTGCTCCCCTCCCTCCCTTTGATACTCACGGTTTAGAGCACAGCTGGGCAGGCCGTGACACCTTCTCAGGTTCAGCCATGACATCTTGGTACTTCACGAGCAGCAGAGCCCAGTACAGCATGCGCCCGTGCCACGTGCAGGCGTGGTCTGCAAACCGATTCGCTGCCTCCACCATCTTTAGAACTGCCTTGTCATGCTGCTGCGCCCATATGATTGCCTCGTGCAGGTCTGAAAAACTGAAACACAGTGATTTCAAAGGGTTTTGAACGGTTTCAAGGGGATCAAAGGGGTATGTGGGAGGAAGTGAGGAAGAGGAGGGAGTGGGTTGAGCTGCCTCCACCATTCTTAGCACCGCCTTGTCGTGCTGCTGCGCCAATATGATTGCCTCGTGTAGGTCTGAGAAGCTGAGGGTGGGGAGGGGAGCAAGGGATTGCAAAGTGGTTCAAAGCGGTACAAAGAGTTTACACAGGAGGAGGAGAAAGGAGGAATCGATTGGCTGCCTCCACCATCCTCAGCACCTCGTTGTGGTGCTTCTGTGCCCAGATGATTGCCTCGTGCAGGTCTGAGAAGCTGGAAGAAGGGGTTCACAATGGTTGCAACGGGTTTCAAAGGGTTTCAGAGGGTTTCAAAGGGGTAAATTGGAGTGATGAGAGGAAGAGAGCTAGGAAGTTTGTTAGGCTGGGGATTCAGGAGGACGAAGGGTGAGTGGGAGTGTATCGCCTGACTTGAGACATCGAAAGCTGGACGGAGGGTCCAGAACTTTTGATTCAAGCGAATTGAGGTCGTTTTTGAGGCGCCTAAAAAACGACCTCAATGCAAACTGGACGGAGGGTCCAGAACTTTCGATTCAAGCGAAAGATAATACATGTCTACAATCATCGCAGGCTATAGTGGATTTTAAGCTGACACAAAAAAAACGATCTCACTTATAAGTGACTCTGATATAGGCAGCAATCATTGTCGGTTGACAGGCCAGAGACATGGGTGGCAACAACAAGGCAGTGACTCACGTTCGGGAGGTGGCGAGCCAGTGCACCCGATCCTGCAGCAGAGGCTCGTAAAACTGCAGCATGGGCGTGTGTTGCCTTATAATGAGCTGATTGGATCGCAGCACCCCACACGTGCGGCAACTGCCTCCCCCCCCATCTGCCACTATCTGATATTGGTGGGAAAGAGGGATACGACGAGTAAAGGGAAAGATGGGAGGAGTGGAGAACAGTGGAGGAAGGGAAAAAAGGTATGGGAGTGTGCTGCCTTGTGATGAGCTGATTGGATCGCAGCAACCCACACGTGCGACAACTGCCTCCCCCCCCATCTGCCACTATCTGATATTGGTGGGAAAGAGGGATACGACGAGTAAAGGGAAAGATGGGGGGAGTGGAGAACAGTGGAGGAAGGGAAAAAAGGTATGGGAGTGTGCTGCCTTGTGATGAGCTGATTGGATCGCAGCACCCCACACGTGCGACAACTGCCTCCCCCCCCATCCGCCACTATCTGTCACCAGTGGGAGGCAGGAGATGAACAATGGGGAGAGTGCAAAAATGGGAACGAGCGAAAAGCAAACGTGCACGCACCCCCACAGGCACCCATCTGGTACTAACGCATTGAACTGCAGGAAGTTCATCTTCCTGGCGAGGGAAGGCGCAATTTCCTACTCCACACGAGGGAAGGCGCAATTTCCCACTCCACACACAAACCCCCCAACCACCCCCCCAGCAGCACACCTGGTACTTGAACGCGTTGAACTGCTGGAAGATCATCTTCCGGCAAGGAGAGCGAGGTAGAAGGTAGAAGATACAAACACGCACACACACCCCACACGCACCCCCCCGCGCACCCCACACACACACACCCACCTGGTCCCTGAACGCGTTGAACTGCTGGAAGTTCATTTTCCTGGCGAGGAGAGGCGCAAGTTCCTACCCCACCCCCCCAGCACCCACCTGGTACTTGAACGCTTTGAACTGCTGAAAGTTCATCTTCCTGGCGAGGAGCGGTCGTAAGCTCGCACCCCATACTCACAACCCCTCTAACCCCCCCCCCCACACGCACCCACCCACCCACCTGGTACTTGAACGCGTTAAACTGCTGGAAATTCATCTTCCTGGCGAGCCGCACACCGTCCTTAACTATCCTCTTCACCACATGGCCGCCCCGCCTTACCCCACGCGTTGACGGATGCGTTCACCCATCCATTCATACCCACTCACACCACAAGACACACCCCCAGCAACCCACCTGGTACTTGAAAGCATTGAACTGCTGAAAGTTCATCTTCCTGGCGAGGAGAGGTCGCAAGCTTGCACCCCATACTCACAACCCCTCTAACCCCCCCCCCCCACACGCACCCACCCACCCACCTGGTACTTGAACGCATTGAACTGCTGAAAGTTCATCTTCCTGGTGAGGAGAGGTCGCAAGCTCGCACCCCATACTCACAACCCCTCTAACCCCCCCCCCCACACGCACCCACCCACCCACCTGGTACTTGAACGCATTGAACTGCTGAAAGTTCATCTTCCTGGCGAGCTGCACGCCGTCCTTTACTATTCTTTTAACAACAGGTTGCTCCACCTTGGACCACGCGTTGATTCTTGCATCCATCAGGTGGGGCGCAGCGGGGGACATTAAATGCAGGCGGATGCGCGGGTTGGCCCCCCAGTTGCCGGCTGGTAGAAGCTCGTAGTTGGTTGTTTTGCCTCTAAAGACCGCCCGTGATTCCTTCTTCTCCCACGGGATCTAAGAAGCCAGATGGTGGGGTGGAGAAGGATGGGTGGAAGGAGGAAAAGCAGGAAGAAAGAGGGTTGCTCCGCCTTGGACCACGCATTGATGCGAGCATCCATCAGGTGGGGCGCGGCGGGGGACATGAGGTGCAGGCGGATGCGCGGGTTGGCCCCCCAGTTGCCACCTGAAAGGAGCTCGTACTTGGTGGTCTTGCCTCGAAAAACTGCCCGCGATTCCTTCTTCTCCCAGGGAATCTTGGGGGAATGGGGACGTTGGAAGGGAAGGAATGTGGGGTAGAAAGGGAAGGCATGAGAACGCAACACACACAATAACACCACCCCCCTCGCAGACACACATTTTCTCATACCTGAGTGGAGAGATCAGGCGTGGAGGGCCCTGTGAGGTCAATCGTATCCGCGGAGAATCCGGTGCTCATAAAGGGCAGCCAGTCTCTAGCTGGCCGACTGACAACAAATCACCCCCAGTAAGAAAAGGAAGAGCAGGCGATGGTCACACACACACACACACACACACACACACACACACACACACGCACACACACGCACACACGCACACACACACACACACACACACACACACACCACCCGGGTGGTGAGGTCAGGCGCGTACGGTACGGCCCTGTGAGGTCAAGTTTTGAGGCGCCTCAGAAATGGCCACACACACACCACCTGGTGCTGAGGTCAAGCAGATGAGGCACAGGGATGTCGATGGTATCTGCTGTGAATCCCGTGCTCATGAAGGGCAGCCAGCCCCTGTTGGGCCGCAAGTCATGCAATAATGGAAGAAAACCCTCCCACCACATGCATGCTTGCATTGCACACGCACCTGGGTTTTGAGGTCAGGCGTGTAGGGCCCTGTCAAGTCAAGTGGGTCGGGGACAGGGATGTCGATGGTATCTGCTGTGAATCCCGTGCTCATGAAGGGCAGCCAGCCCCTGTTGGGCCGCAAGTCACGCCAAAACACCCACCCCACCCCACCCACCCCATCCACCCCCATCCACCTCCATCCACCCACATACGTTCGCACCTGAGTGGAGAGGTCCGGCGTGTACGGGCCTGTCAAGTCAAGCGGGTCGGGAACAGGGATGTCGATGGTATCTGCTGTGAATCCCGTGCTCATGAAGGGCAGCCCGCCCCTGTTGGGCCAGTGCGAGCTGTGGAACGACATGGGGTGGTCGCATGTGTTGAGGAAGAACTCGAGGCGGAGGGAGGAGAGACGGTACTGCGTCACAGCATCCTGCACAGAAGGTGGATAGGGGATTTGGTTGGAAACAAAGGAGAGGGAACGGCATGGGGTGGCCACATGTGTTGAGAAAAAGCTCCAGGCGGGGGGAGGAGAGGCGGAATTGGGTCAGTGCGTCCTGCCAGGTGGATGGATTGAACAAGGGTTAGGGGAAAATGCAGGTAGAGGGGAAGGGCATGGGGTGGTGACATGTGACTGGTATGAGCTGGGGAAGACCATGGGGTGATCACACGCTCCTAGCCTTTGACTGGCGTTGACTACCCTGCCTAGCACCCCTTGACTGGCGTTGACTAACCTGCCTAGCACCCCTTGACTGACGTTGACTCCCATGTGTAGCACCCTTCGACCTGTGTTGACTCACCTGCAGCATCTTGACTGTTTGGAGAAACCTCCCAAGGCGGTAGTAACGGTTCCAAAAGCCACCGTAACGAAAGTACACTTTGCCGTCAATGACCTGCCATGAACAAATGACAGTAACAAAGTAACAGGTGCATCTTCATCTTCATCTTGGATTAATGGAATTAATCCATTAACCCCCCAGAAACGTATATTGTCAGAAAAAAACGCATGTTTACTCAATTTGTATAGAATATTGCAGAAGGAGGCATGCATTGACTTTGAAATGCCCCAAGCGGCTTTTGGGTCGACTCTGAAAGTCACCTACTTACTTTGATATGCCCGGAGCAGGACATGAGGTTTGGTGAAATGCTGATGAACTCGAGAGCCTCAGGCGTCACAAAGCCTCTGTGCCCCAGACCAGCACTGATGTTCTGATGTGTGAGACACGAGTTAGCATGCGAAAGTATGCAATGCACAAGGGAATCATTGAACTGTTGATGAATTGGAGTGCCTCAGGCATGGCATGGTACGGTTTATGGCATGGCATGCATGGCAAGATACATGGCATGGAGAAAGCAGTCAGATGCACTCACAGCGATGGGTCGCCATGGCTCTAGATACCGGTGAATAAGCTTCAAGTAATTCATTGCTCCTGGCTGCTTCAGAGCCTTTTTTAGCTCGGGAAACTCCGGTATGCGCCCTAAAAAGTCCTTCTCCACCGAATTGAATACCCCCGGAGGCAATTCACATACTCTATGTCTTTTCTTAGCTCCTCCTCCCCCTACCTCCCCACCATCCCCACTTCCATCATCCCCTAGTGCCCCTATTTCTCCTTTTAGCTTCATAACTTCTATCCAAACGTCCAAACCTGCGAGTAGCCCCACTAGAGCCAGCCCCGTTACAAGCACAACGATGGCTGATCCTTGGTCTCTGTTTAAATGCGGACAGCAGGAGCAGACACGCCATCGGGATCTCCTCCCACCACCATCTCCACTCGCGATATTAGCAACCCCGCTCTTATGCAATAAGGGCTTCGTAACAGACGCTTTATTAGCTGCTCCAAGCGTACTGTATGAAGCTTTTCCGTCAGGAGAAGTGCTCTGGCTGCGAGCAGTCATGGAGTCGGCATTTTCAGGGCTTCGAGGATTAGGGGAACGAGAATTGCGTTCAGCGTACGGATGTACATCAGGTTGTGCATTATGCGCGTCACGGATATGTCTATGACGCGGATGGCCATGGTCAATTTCGTCATTATCCGCAATCAACCGCTCGCTAGTGTCACATGTCAGCCCAGCGAGCTCAGCTGCGTCAGAAGCGGAAGCGTCTGGCCGGGACAATCCACCCCCCACCGTCGGATGTGGATGGGATCGACGGTGAGGACCTGCCACGAATTTCTTTCCAAACAACATGTCGTTCCGCTCCGAAGTATGGCGGAAAAATGCGGCGTCCTTCACGGCGGGAAAAGCGCTAGAACGCCCGATCCTCGTAAGTAAAATTCAACCAGGTCGCTCAATTCAGGTTCATGTATCAAATTGGTATGCCGTGTCCTGTTTTCCGATCGTGAAAACCTTTACTGAGCTCAGTCACCAGGAGCGATCATCCATTCGCCTCACTGCTGGACATTCCCATCATAACTCAGGTTTCTTTCATTCGTCCTGTAGAACCATCATGTGCTGGATTTGACTCAAAAAAGGTTCTTTCTGGTTCTGCCGACAATCTCAACACTGCTTGGCTGGTCGGTTTGGCCCTCGAGATCTCTCGAACTCACGAAAGCCCAATTCGCGAAATACTTTTTCGTTTAGAAAGAGCTGACGAACCAGGATAGGGACACATTTGCTAGTTCCACGAAGGTTACGAGGTCATCACGAAGTTCGTTATGCGCATAAAACTTCGTTCGGCTGCGGTTATTGGGCCCGCAGCCACAGCGACCATCGAGCCTGCCCGATTGCAGCCCCATGAGGCTCCCGCTACTCGTCGTACCAAACCTAGAACCTGTAGGTCTGGGCAGACATCACGTTCCCCCGAACAAGCAGGCTACTTGCCCCATCAACTGGAGGTTCGGATTTCGAAGGCTTGTTTACGAGGAATCAGGATGCTCTGTGCGTTGTGCTGAGGGTGGGACTAAAACCGAATGCTGACTATAAGTCGCTGATGTTCGTCACTGCAAATGAAACCCGATTCGTTCGCCCGCTACCAGGTCGGACTTCGCTTCGGAAGATTAGATGAGCGAAAAATAGAACCATTGGTAACAGAAACGATGGGCATTGTAAGGAATTTTCCCGAATTCCTTATCGGGGTTGACTGCTTCGCATACAACCCGATTTTCGGAGTTCGCACGTTCGGCCGATTTCAACGCTGCCGAGGCTCCTCGCATCGCCTTCGGCATTCCCATCGCCAAACCTGCACCCAACCTCCCTCGTCCGAGGTTTCCTCCTAGCTAGACTAGTCCTACATTAGTCTGTGCATTCATTGTATTCGCAGTTGATTCAGTCACACCCTCGTTATTCGTTTACCTGCGCACTCTCTTTTACAACTCATAACACCTGGTATCAGAGCTACTTTCCTAGTTCACCCCGCTTTTCCGAGGGTAGTTTGGTGGCATAGGGTGTGGCTGGTTTAGTGACTACACGACGGTTGGCTGCAGGGATTGTTAATTCAATTCTGCTCGACTCTCATAGTTCGTGTTTTAGCTTGCCTGAAGGCCACGGAGACCCGATTGCCCACCAGACGTAGCGCTATGCACATGGATCAGGAGGCGGTCAACAGGATGATGGCGCAAGTGGCAGAAATGCAGGAGAGCATGAAGACATTAATGGCGGAAGTGACAACGCTGCGAGAGGAAAACGCCGAGCTACGCCAGACGCGAGGTGAAGCGCGTCAGGAGTCGCCTGTGGACGAAGGCGAGGGCAACAGTCAAGCGATGAGCAATCCACTGGATGCGCTCACACGTGACTTCGAAGAGGAGGACAGGCAGCGAGCGGCAACAGCACCAGTTGCAGTGACAAAGATCAAGATCAAGCCTGTTAATCCGCCCCCGTTTAATCCTACGGACAAGACGGTTACGGTAAAAGGGTGGCTGTTCGGGGTCGAAGTCTTTTTTACTGCAGCCGGAGTTAATGACGACGCCACGCGTTTTAATTACGCAGTTTTGCTTCTTCGAGGTGTAGCACTTGAGTGGTGGCGCCGAACCTTGGAAACAGGGACGCCGACAGGTGTGACACATGCGGCAGACGGGACCTCAACAGTGACTAATCAAGTGGCACAATCGATCTTCGGAGTGACCACAATACGCACGTGGAAGGAGTGGGGCGCAGCCTTACGAGGTCGCTTCGAGCACGTATCCGCCTCGGAGCAAGCTCGCATGAAGCTGCGTGCATGGTCGCAGATGGCTTCTGTCCAAGACTACACGGCGTCATTTATGAGCCTCGCCGACCAAGTCGATGACATGTCAGAAGCTGAACGGCTGGATAAATATATCAGCGGCTTCAAATATGAGATACAGTACGAGGTTCGCAGGGGCCGTCCGACGTCATTCCTTGCAGCAGTACAGTTGGCGGAGTCCACAGATGCGCTGATGCAGTACGCGAGAGCAGCTTCCCGGGAGGGAAACCGCTTTCGTGGCCAGACCCATCGGGCCACGATCAACGCCGTCCATACACCCGACCGCCCTCCTAAGGGACCGTGTTATCGGTGTGGGAAGACGGGTCACTATATGAAAGACTGCCACGAGAAAACGCCGCTGACGGGGAACGACAGGAAGGAGCAGGGAAATGGGAAGAGTCAGTAATTAGCGGGCCCTTTACTGACTGTGCTCCGTCGCCCGAACCCCACCATCCCCACCGAGTCGTGGTTCCGATTCATGCAATCGATCGCACTCGGTCGAATAACGGGGATACACATGTGGATCACCCAGTGCTGGTCGCTGGCAAAGTGTTCAAAAATAACTTAAAAATGTTCGTCGATGGAGGGGCCAGTCATAGCCTCTTCAACTTGGCGAGCGCAAAAAAATGCAAGCTGCAACTTGACAGGTGTCTGCCCGAAATCGACGCCCGCCTTGTGGATGGGACGCCTCTGGCGATAACGGAAGAAACACGGACGGTCAGGATCGAATGCGGCAACGATTTCGGCTTCAGCATGAAGTTCCTCGCGACAACATTGGACGGCTGCGACGTGCTGCTGGGACGTGATTGGCTGCGACGGCACAACCCCGTCATCGACTGGACAACGGGATCGTGCAGCATCAACAAGCATGAGGGGCTAATTAAGCTCCCTGCATGGACGCCTGACTACATCCAAGCCCCGTGCGTCAAAGCTATCACTATAGCTTGACAAAGTTTGAAGAAAGAAAGAGGGTTGAACTAGCAGAAATGGGGATACAAATAGCAAACCCTAGAAGGGTTGTACTCGCTATAGAGCACCCCACTACAGGCTAGAACAATAAGATAATATTCTGACAGACCCCCATAGCCAAAGTGGGGTGTAATCAGCAGAGCAGGCAAAGTAGTACAAGCTCAGGGTGGATCACAATGTCACCACACATTCTGAGCACAAGTTCAAGAAGAGATAGTTTAGAGTTCACAATTATGAGCAGAGCTAGTGGTAGTCACAACGGGCAAGTGAGGAGGAGGAGAGAGAGTGAGGGGAGAGGAGATAGGAGGCGACGGCTGAAGCTGCAGGCACACGGGCAACAGGAGGCACACTGGCACAGCGGCTACCGGACAGCGCCCGGACTACAGGAGTAACAGGCCCCGCGGCTCAAATAGCGGCGGACGGGCAACGGACCCACAGGCGGCTGGCACAGCTGGCTACGACTGGGCTACCGGGACAGCGCCCCGGACTACAGGTGCTGCGAACGACAAACTGACAACCTCCACTCAACCTCCCGAACACAGTCCCACCCCCTTGATGCACACCCACTGCTACACCGCTAGCTGCACTCCCACGCACCCCCCTTAAACCCTAAACCCGAGTCTCCCACACAACCACCCCCCTCAGCGACAGCTGCAGCAGTGGGAGACGAAGGAGGAGGAGGAGCAAAGGGAGGAAGGCACACCGAGCACCCCCATACCCGCCACCCCACAGCAAGCGGCCCCCTCAAGTCGACTCGACGGACGACGGGAAATGGCAGGGGGAGGGGGGAGGGGGGGGGGGAGGCGGTGTGGTGAAAGGGGCCCACCACGGGCCTGGTTGGAGGGCGGGGCCGCGACAAGGGGCGGGGCCGCGACGAGGGGCGGGGCCGCGACGAGGGGCGGGGCCGCGACGGTCGGGCAGGGCCGCTTCGAGGGGCGGGGCCGCGACACAGGGCGGGGCCGCGACGTAGGGCGGGGCCGCGACGGTCGGGGCGGGGCCGCGACGTAGGGCAGGGCCGCTTCGAGGGGCGGGGCCGCGATGCAGGGCGGGGCCGCGACGTAGGGCGGGGCCGCGACGTAGGGCGGACGCCCGCGAAGGTAGGGCAGACGCCCGCCGCGCGCCTCGGGGCGCACAGTGGGCAAAGAACCGCCGCGCGCCCCGGGGCGCACGGCGGGCAGAAAACCGCCGCGCGCCTCGGGGCGCACGGCGGGAAGGAAAACCACCGCGCGCCTCGGGGCGCACGGCGGGAAGGAAAGGTAGCAGCGGAAGCGAGGTGGAAACCCACCCACAGGATCGATCCAAGGGGATCGACCTGCTCTGATAGCATGACAAAGTTTGAAGAAAGAAAGAGGGTTGAACTAGCAGAAATGGGGATACAAATAGCAAACCCTAGAAGGGTTGTACTCGCTATAGAGCACCCCACTACAGGCTAGAACAATAAGATAATATTCTGACATAGCTCGCCACTTCAACAGAGGCGCGCAACTGTTCGCTG